GAACGGCAAGGCACACGAAATGCGACCGAGAGAGAGAGAGAGAAAGAGAGAGAGAGAGAGAGAGAGAGAGAGAGAGAGAGAGAGAGAGAGAGAGAACGGCAGGGCACACGAAATGTGACCGAGAGAGAGAGAGAATGGGAGATATGGAAGAGCTACTGTGGCAGAGCACAGGAGATACGGAGCGCGCGAATGCGAACAAGAGAGAGAGAGAGAGAGATGTCAGAGGTCCACTGGAGATCCCCGATGATCCTAGGGAAGGGTTACAGGCACGTTGGCCTGGGGGGTTATGGGCGCACTCACCCGCTACACAAACAAGCCCTTTTATCCCAGTGGTTAGTGGTTGGGATTCTGACATGGTATCAGAGCGAAGGTCTCGGGTTCGAATCCCGGTGTGTGCACCTCGGGCATCCCAGTGCGGGGGGGTGTCAGAGGTCCACTGGAGATCCCCGATGATCCTAGGGAAGGGTTACAGGCACGTTGGCCTGGGGGGTTATGGGCGCACTCACCCGCTACACAAACAAGCCCTTTTATCCCAGTGGTTAGTGGTTGGGATTCTGACAAGAGAGAGAGAGAGAGAGAGAGAGAGAGAGAGAGAGAGAGAGAGAGAGAGAGAGAGAGAGAGAGAGGGGGGTGGGGGAGGAACAGAGCACGCGAAATGCGTCCAAGAGAGAGAGAACGGGAGATAGCGGAGCGCGCGAATGCGAACGAGAGAGAGATAACGAGAGAGAACGGAGCGCGCAAAATGCGACATGGAGAGGTCACGGGAGTGTCGGAGCGCGTGAATGTGAATGAGTGAGAGAACGGTAGAGACGGGGACAGCAAATGCGACCGAGCGAGAGCAGCCTAAGCGAGCGAGAGATCCAAAACGACCAAGTGAGAGCTCGTCAGCGACGGATAGAGCGAAGGCGGAATGGAGAGATCACGTTAGAAACGGTTCGCTCCCCCGCCACCGGGAGAGAGCACGGGCCTACACGGGGAGCGCGACAGAGACGTGTCAGAATCCCAGCCACTAACCATTGGGATAAAAGGGCTTGTTTGTGTAGCGGGTGAGTGCGCTTATAAGGCCAATGTGCCTGTAATTCTTCCCTAGGATCAATCGGGGATCACCAGTGGACCTCTGACACCCCCCTGCACTGGGATGCCCGAGGTGCACACACCGGGATTCGAACCCGAGACCTTCGCTCTGATACCATGTCAGAATCCCAGCCACTAACCACTAGGATAAAAGGGCTTACTTGTGTAGCAGGTGGGTGCGCCTATAACCCCCAGGCCAACGTGCCTGTAACCCTTCCCTAGGATCAATCGGGGATCACCAGTAGACCTCTGACAAGACCGACTGAGAGATCGGGAACTACAGAGAGAGAAAATTAGAGAGGAAGTGGTAGAACCGTTATGCTCACCTTCTAAGAGCTCACTCAGATGTGAGCGCTTCACTAAAGGCCGCCACCAACGTGACAGCCAGAAACGCGGTTCGAACGAACCTCTACGCGAGAAAGGCCCTAGAGCTACGAATAAAACAGCCGTGCTCATGCAAAATTGTGGGTGAATAGGAATGGAACGCCAACTTTCCTCAGTAGATAGTCAAATCTGGCCAGCAAGAGATGGTGGAACGAGGAGTAACTAACAAATAAGTGGAGGATGAGGGACCACCGAGAGAGAACCACAAACAGTCGGAACGCGTCGCAACCGAAAATTGGGAGAAGGAACAAGCTACTGGCGAGTCGATTCGCATGCATGAAATTTTTCGTCACCACGCGGAAAAAGGGATTCACTGGTTTGCGAAACGCGTTGGCATTGCGAATCGCGTTATAAATAACCCTGACGTTTTACAGACCACGAATTGCTTCCCACCACCCATTTGCCTTTCCGCAATCTTCGGCGCAAATGAAAGAAATGGACATGTGTCCAACAACCAACAGTGGAATCTGTAACCTGTATACATATGTAGTCTTCCATATATAAAGGATTCATATCAGGTGGCATCCATATAAAACGAATTCATCTCAGTCAAATGTACCCAAACTTGAACAAAAAATTATTTCTTACCGAAATTGTAGAAAAGCACTATGTACAACATTTAGATTCGCTCCCGTTGATAAAATTGTGAATCTAATCCTGTCAACTTATGAGCTTGAAATACACACACTGACAATTTCACGAAATCGCTTCTACAGTTTCGTTTCGAACTACATAGAAACACACTACAATCGAAATGAGACCCGTCATAAGGAAAACAAAATCAGCACAGGCCGCGCGTGCCCCAATCCCAGCCGTAGATGACAACATCCGGACAGAAATGGTTGGGGGAACAGTAGCGACAAAGGCACCAAAACAGACCCAACCTTTTTTTTTTTTTAAGTAAAAGCTCTATACAAAAGGATGTACAAGCAAAACACTCAGTCGTAACTGAAGACTCGGGCTCAAGCTAGGTGGTTACCCAGCCCTCCCCCACGACACTACGGTGGTCTGGTGAAAGTCCTCGGGTTCGACCAGATGGATTGAGAACCCGCCTGCCACCTCAGCCCCAGTGCCTCGTTGTCACAGATTCTTTGCATGACCCGTGCCTCGTCATCTGCAAGATTCCATCTCGCACTGTCCTTCTTAGCCTGCTTACTAGGCTTCCCGCAGCATATCCGAACGTGCTTGTCGAACTCGAAATTGATCCTCCGGAGCACCTTCCGGACCTGGAATTTCCGTGCTCTGCCCATTGACACGTCACACCTCCCCAGCCACACTTGATGCACCGCCACTGCTACCAGAGTGGCCTCCGGGAAACCGGACCTTGCCACTTCCACCCCAAACAGAAGGTCCGCCAAACTGTCCATGCGTCTAGCAGGCTGCATCATTCTAACCGCTGATCTGACCGCCTCTGCCACCTGTACCACGTGCGGACACTCCAGCAGACAGTGGTCTAACGACCCCGCCTCCCCGCAGTGCGGGCACACTACCCCACCTCGCGGGAAGTACACTCTCTCTCCAACCTGCAGATTGAGGTTGTTTAGCTGGAGCAGAACGTCCCGCGCCCTGACTGGGGTCACCAAGGAATCCCTGACTCGCCTCCCCCGCTCCCATTCGATCTTCCCCCTTGCTCGGGCTTCCCATCTTCTCCTCTTTTCCTCAACCGCCTCTGTCTCCTTGCTTGCTCCCCTGAGCTTCTTCAGTGGCGCCACCTCCCCGTCCGCGAACAGCGTAGACCCCAGTAGCCTGACTCTAGGGTCCCCCACCGTGCCCGCAGTCTGACCTTTGGGGATTCTTGCAAGGGTTACGCTTTCACACTGCAACTCCAAGCTTACGTCCCACCCGGAACGCTCACCCTCCCCGTTGAGTCCACTTAGGATCACTGACTTTCCCCTGGCTTCTTTGACCCTCCACAGGCACACCTTCCTGCTCGGCAACACCGTACGCATGAACGGGGACACCGTGACAATCTCATCCGCTGTCAGTGGCGCCGGCAGCCAGTCCCTCCACTGCTCAGGTGCCGCGCTGAAAGCTTTGATCGCCATGGCCGCTTCCTCCTTGCACCCCAGCTCCCACGTAAGTGTCTCTAACGACTTGACCGCCCGTATACCATCCCACTTCCGGATCACCAAGTCCCGCATCTTCCATTTCCTCCACCCGGCTATATGTTTTTGACTGCCAAATGGAGTCTTTCCCCTGTGAATAATCCTCGTGTTGAAACACAGATACTCCTTCTCTGCATCCCACCGCGAGGCAACTTCCGACACCTGCACCGACTTTGACTTCAGCACCACCTTGCATAACTTTGCCTATCTCCTGCTCTTGATCATCCCCCCTTTGAGTACCGCCGTGTGTGCATACAGTGTCGCCCACCCGAGTGGTAGCCCTACCGCGCACTTCGTCACCCCCCGTCTGAGCGGACACTTTTGCTTCAGCGCCAAGCCCACACACCTCAGCGCAACGCTGTCAATTCTGCCTCTCGGGTCTATTACGCCCAGACCACCCTGTTCCCTTGGTGCATACATCAGGTCCCCGCTCCAGAGCCGGAAGTGCTTCTCCGTATCAGCGTGATTGGCCGATATGAAAATTTCCAGCAACGTCTCCACCCTCTTCAAAAGCAGATCGTCTGGCGGGTACACCTGCGCCTGGAACAAGAGCACTGGCAGCACATAGCTGTTAATGATGGTCACTCTTGCCCCCGTCGTAAGATATTTTGACTGCCACTTGCTTAACACACTCACTGCCCTGTGGAACGCCTTCTCCCAAGTAGTTCTAGCATTCTCGTCTGGAGTCATCCACACGCTAAGCAGCCTTTCTGCTTCTTCTTTACCAACCCACTTGTACTCCAACCCCGCCAGCACTGGCTTGCCGATATTTCTTCCCACTGGCAGGATCACCGATTTCCCGATATTGACTTTCAGCCCTGACACTGATGCAAACTCCCGTGGCATCTTGTCTGCCTCCTTTAGCTGTTGCTCCCCTTCCAGCAACAAGGTGGTGTCATCCGCGTACCCCACGTACGACAACCTCTCACAAGCGTTCTCCCCGATGCCCAGCCTCCTCTCCTCCGCTAACCTGCTTAGAGGCTCCATCGCGCATTGGAACAGGTAAGGCGCCAATGGGCATCCTTGCCTCACCCCTTTACGCATTTGAATCTAGTCACCAGTCCACCCATTAATACAGAGCCTCGTGTGGATGTCGCTGTGCAGGGCCACTATCCAACTCACAAACCGCGACGGGAAACCAAGTCGGGAGATCGTCTTTATCATATATTCCCTCCGTACTGAGTCATACGTTTTTTCGAAATCCACCATCATGAGGTACCAATCTTTGTCAGCGTTCTTGACCGCATCTATTAGGTCCGCCACCGTCGATACCGCGTCAGACAGCCTCCTCCCAGGTAAGAAGCCGCACTGCTCCTCTGAGATAACCTGACTCAGCATCGCTTTCATTCTTGACGCCACCACTTTTGCCAATATCTTGTAAATACTCTTTAACAACGTTATCGGTCTATAATTCTTGATGTCTGACTCTGCGCCTTTCTAGTACAACAGAGTAGTGACCGCTGCGTTGGCCGCCGCCGGCAGCTTGCCTGTACTGACGAACTCTTTAACCATCCTCATCACCGGCCCTTTCAGCACTCCCCAGTGACGCTGGAACACCTCTTTCGGTAAGTCGTCCCTCCCCGGGGACTTGTCACTCTCTAATTCTCTTATCGTCGTTCGTACCTCTTCCCCCGTCCAGTCCAACTCCAGAGACGTTGCTGATGCCTCTTCCAATACCCTTCTAGGTGTCCACTGCAGCTCCGGTGCGTCCCCCGCCGCCCCAGAGGAGTCATCGAAAACACTTCTGAAGTGCTGCGACGCCACCTCCAGGACCGTCTTCGCATCAGTGTGGCTGACGCCGTCCTTTACCAGCTCCTTTATACCCACCTTCGCCTTCCTGCTCTTAACAAGCGCAGACAGATAACTCGTTGGAGCTTCTCCACTCAACTAATCCTTAAGCCCAGTTCCCAGCGCCAGGAGATTCCTCAAGCCGTCCCTATATCTCCTCAGCATCGCCTGTCGACTTGTAAGCACTGCTTGTAAGTTATCATCCCCCGGATCAGCCATCGCCTTCTGTTGCAGCATCCCCACCTGTTCCAACATATCCTCAGCCTAACCCCGCATTTATGGTCTGTAATCTCCTGCGGCAGCGGCTGGTGAGAAACCTTCGCCACTTGATGCACCAATGCCTGCGATACCAAAATCTCGTTAATCCTCGAACTGACCAATGCCGATCTGCAGAAGAAGGTGAATTCCCTCTCATCCGGTCGCAGCTCCTTGAACGCGTCTGTAACTTGAAAGTCAGCCAACATCTGTTTCATCTTGGCATTGTCCCCTGTTACGCCCTGCCTGTTAGACTTATCCAGGATGGGGTCCTCTATCATGTTCAAGTCCCTTGCAATCACCAACCGCTCCCCTCTCGGCAGCCCAGCAGCGAACTCCTTAAAATCAAGACCTAAGAAACTTCCCCGCGAGGCTGCCTGTGAGGGAAAATAAGCAGCCAGCAGCCTCAGCTGTCTTGTACCCCAACATAGCCTGGCATGAAGCAGCCGTCCTGACGGGTGCCGCTGTATGTCTTCCAGCGCAACCCCTTCCTTTAAAAAGAGAATCGCCACCCCTCCTGCCCTTGTTGGGGCCCCTACCGCTGCCACGCTCTAGGAACGGAGCTCCGTCCAGAAATTATGATCCTCCGCAATACGTGTGTCTGCCAATATCACCACGTCTGCCTTCTCTTTTAACCACTGCTTCAGTTCTTGCAGCTTCCCCTGATTCCCTAAACCGTTGATGTTCAGGGACAGAAAAGTTAGCCAGTTGGTGTTACTTATTGGACAACTCCGTTGAAGCCCCCAGTCATCCACAGGGCGGTGTTACAGCATGACAAGGTATCGCTACTCTGCGTGGACCACGACAAACTACTGAGGCTCCTTGACTTAAACACAACTCCTGACCTCTCCCTGTCTGCTTTATTACATCCAGCAACCACAGGTACCACACTATGGGTCACACGCCGAACTCCTTTGCCGCGACAAGGTTGACCCCTGCCTTTGAGCAGCCCGTCGCACAGTCGGACATCAAGCCGTCGCTGTGCCTCTGAGAGACAACATGCTCCGCGGCCTGAGCGAAGGTACCACCATTCGCTTTCTCGCAGTTCTCCTAGACGCAGATCCATTCCTCGCGGTTCCCCCTTGTCAATATCAACACCACAACGGGGTCCTTCAAGATCAGCCTGATCAGATATGTGATTCTGACTGAGGCAGCTGCGCAGAGTCGGCACACTCATAGCATTAGCACTACACCACCGAGAAAACAACAAGCAGATACGAGACAGGTAAGCAATGCCCACAGACTCCCTATTACCATTGATCCCATGGACCCGTCCCAGGGACAGGCTCCAGTTGCTGATGTTGTTCTGCTGGTCTGTCACATACTCGTCATTGTATCTCGTCATGTGGTACCCCCAACAGTACACACAACATTGAGAGGGGTAGTGCACCAGCAGTTGCTTGTCATGAGAGGTCGGGTCTTCGATCAGATGATGCCAACGGTATTTGTCCCCCTCGTGTTGCCTAACCAGTCCCTTGATCTTATCTGTATCCATCCCTGTGACAGGGTTCACCATCCGATGGAAGCAGCTGCCCTCCTTGAAGGTCGACCGACCGCGCTTCTCCAGCTTCACCTTCACCAACATATCGCAGAGCATCTCCGGCGTGATCACCGCGTCCACCCCCTTAAACAACACTTCAACCAGCAGTGGGTCAGCCGCATGCGCCTTCACATAGGCCGGGTCCACCGGGTGCTGCCTGTCCAGATTGATATGCTTCCTGTCAACACAGGTGTGCACGATCCCGTGCTTCCACACAAAGTTGGCATCCCGATCCCGCTCGAAGGTGACCTGCAGCCTAGAGTATTGCTTCTTGTTCAGAAACAGCGCTGACAGCTCCTGAAACTTCGTTGTTGTTTGAATCTCCATGTGCAGATCCTTCTTCCACAGATTGAAGAGTGCACGCAACGTCGACTGCACGCGCGTGCCTCCGGCTTGAAGGCGATCGGGATCAGCAGAACAATGGCGAAGCGAATCCGCTGCGAGACTTCACTCTTTGCATGCGCATCGTAGCGCTCCTCAGGATCATCGCTGAGGTAGCCATCATCCTCCTCGTCGTCGTTAGGCTTTGAAGACTTGTTGACCACAACGTCTTTCTCACTTTGCAAGGTGGCGCCAATAGCACCACTGATGGCAGCGACCGTACTTCCGCCGTCCTGCAACTGTGACTTGACACCAGCACTAGCGGTAAGCAGGTCCTGAGCCACCTCCTGCACGCTTTGCTTCGACCCAGCCGGTTGAAGTGCGTCTTTGTCCACCTCCGTGAACAGGTCTACCATGCGCTTGACGGCCGAGGATGCTGAAACGTCGACGACCACCAGCACCTTCTTAGGCTTTTCCAGAGTAGCACCAGCCGAGCTTTCCGTGATGCATACCTCTCCATTCCTGGTAGTCATCCTGGACATAGTGCGATGATGACACGGCGAAGCCTGATAACCTCCTTGAGGCAAAAGCCAACGTCTGAGCGTAACACTAGTACCACCATTGTCGTTTTTTATATCCTTAAACTTGAAACACCGAGAGGATGAGGTCCTTGAGAGGAGTTTGCTCCCGTAAACTTGTAACTGACAGCAGACCCGAAATAGATGTGGACGGCCTCGGGGAAAACGCGGCTTGGGCGCTACGACCAGCCTAGACCCACTCCCCCGATTTGCCCGAGGCGAACTCTGAAAACTAGACCTAGCTAGACCAGCAGTCCGGCCGTTTTACCTATTTCCAGATAGATGATTGGCAAAGGAAAACCATTTTGCCAACAAATTCATCCGACTGAACAGTTGACAGGAGTTCTGTAACCACCTCGCTAACAGTTAAATTTGACGACTAACTGGTAGTGCGCGAACGGCCGAACAGTGTCGCTCGAAACTCGCTAGTGTATTTTGTTGTTGAAATCAATTTGATATGTATATTTTCCTTGACGGATTTGTTCACGGTAGTGAGGTTTTTGTAAAACAGTGAATTACAGTATGAGTTTTAGGTGGTTGTTTTTTTGGAAAAATAGATAAAGGATGTCTCTTAGTTCCTATTCAATGCATTTCCAGTGGGTTATTTACACATATAGTCATGCAACACCAACTATGCCTGTAGCACATGTCAAGTCATTTTACGGCAAACATCAAGACAAAGTTGTTATTTTTTCCATGTTTTATGTTCTGTTTTAAAGCTTTGTCTTGCTTACAGTGGCTTGTATACCACCCTTGTCATGTCAAACCAGTGGTGGAATACACAAAAATGATGGAAATGGTTGCTTGCTTGCTCGGGAGTTTTTGGCACTTGTTAGCTGTGTTTTTATGATATGGCTTTGCATTTTGCCTCCCTCAATACTCTTCACAGTATTGTCAACATCCATGAATGGGATACTCAAGTCAAAATGCAACAAAAAAAATTATGCGAAATGACTGTACAGTTTCCATTTACTAGTGATTTTTGGTTGTAATATTACAGTGTTAGAGTATTTATTTACATGTTATGAAGACTATATTTCCCCCCTTTGACTGACTCCCCACACTGCCTTTATGTAGGGTTGGCATTGAGCACTTTCATCTGTGAATCAATAAACTCTGTAGTTGATTTTCTAGTGAATTCAACATTTTAGTGGCTGGGTGTACTGTTTCGTCCTCATAGAACTAGTGGAATGCTGAATTTTGAGTGTTTGTGCTGGCAACTCGTCTTCACGTAAACCTAGCCATCTTCAATGACTCATTCGGGCTGGAATTTTAGACCACCACGTGTCACATTCGAGTCGTACAAGGTTGAGCCATGCGGAGAACACTAATAAATTTGATCACGTGCTGCATGGCGTACAATCGAGGTGCTGCACATGAAGAAATGCACATGGCCATTTAGAGAAATATGCGTGCAAAAATTGGCACGCCCGGTGGTGATTGGTCGAAAATGCTTCTCGTACAGATTGTACCGTCTAGCACAACATTCAATTCAAAGTACCGATTGACCAATTACGACCTCCAGCTAGGTGCGCCCTCATGAAAGATGGAACCATTTCGTAACGAACCCGCAACCACGACCACACATTCTATAAAAATATTATTCGGAATTACGCCCTCTGAAATAGGCCGTAAGGCTGAAACTCAGAGAGGTATAAAAGTCAGAGATGGCTTGTTTTTTCATTTTGCCGCTTCTCTTTCACTTTTCTTGAATTTTCTTTCCATTCCAACTTCTCTGCACCCCACTTTCCTTAGTCGATAGAGACCTCGATTGAAATCGAAGGGGCTGGTCTGCGTGTGCGGCTGTCGCGCTTAGAGTTCGAAAACATGCGTGATCAGGAAGCGGAATGGTCTGAGAACATCCTCAACTTCGTGTTGCTATAAGTCATGATCGAACGATTGGGACTCGAATAGAGTGTAATATTTTCGAGTTTACCCGCCCTCTAAACAGCGTCCCCCATTTAGAGGTGATATCTATGCGCTCGTTTGGTACTCATTGAGCTGTGATGTGATCAAGAACATGATTTGTCGTCCATCACTGAATGTTGTTCGAGCATTATTTCAGCTCTACGACATTCAACAACTTTCGAGTTTCTAGTTTGCTACCAGGAATGTGAGCTGTAGCGATCGCCTCTTGAAACCATTTTTCGAGCGTGTTGACTCGTAATCTTTCGCAGGATGCTTGCCAAAAATAGGCTGACCGCGGAGCAGCTTTCGAAGGTCGAAATCGTCCCCATGAGTAAGGTTAACGTCGCCAAGGCGAAAGTCCCACTGGAACCTATGGGTCCAAGCAGACTCACTGATCTCCTTGGCAAGGAACTCTGCATCTTCTGACATTTTTACTCAATTGCGGCTTTGTTTCTTCCCGAGAGCTTCTTCTAAAGGTGTCTATCATTTTGCCACACCACCACTTGCAGTATCACTGCCAAACCAAAGGCGCGCTGTAGCCTCTTTGTTCTCGTACGCCCTGACAGTCTGGCGGCCCACCCGAGGTTTCCGGTTTAGATGCGTCTTTTACATTTCGACTCCAAACCAACTTTTCCGACTCATAAGCACGCCGACCTCGCCCAAAATATTGTGCGGTGAGTATCCGTTGTTTAAGCGGCATCCGTGTGTGTTGCCGGGTGAACAACGCTCACTGAAGTCGAACCACTTATGTTGAGCAGGTGGCTTGAGCTGCAGCTCTTGATGGAATATTCAAGGGGGGGAAGCGAACTTGCTCGGCGAGACCCAGGAAGTATTTCGCGACATTTCGAACCGCATCACAAGTGACTGGAAGCTCGACAAAACGGGGGTAAGTTATCGAATACAGTGCGAACTAGTCCTACATTGTTATCGAGAGCGGCCACGTGCTAACGCGTTTCCGCATCCGTATTGTTGCAGAAGCTAACTCAGTCACTCGGCCAGAGGGAGGTTGGTTCGGGACTTCACGTGGCCTACCAGTGGTGCAAGATGCTCGATCATTTCGACGCCATTCTGCAGCAGCAGACGAGGGACGAAAAATTCCTCTCTTTGGGTTCCCCACAATACCGTTGAGAGAATATTCCGAATGACACACTCATCGACTGTGGTAAGTATTTCGACAAGGTTGCGCATGGTGAAACTACGGGTGAGGGGGAAGAGGAGGACAACTTGGACCAACATGGGCCTGTCGCAGAGGACACAGGGCCCCCGCCAGAGACCGATGCGGACATAGTCACTGTAGGGGCGCTGGTTTCTGACAGCATTCGAATGGGTATGACCAACGAGCGTCAGAGCGTCACGGATGGGGAGCGTCGGCTGATGGATACATACGAACCACACGGTCGGAGGGGGAGTGCGCGCGAGATATTGCATGGAATGAGGGAGACGCAGCAGAGGGCAGCAGTGGCCAAAATTCAGCGTTGCGGATTGGAGGCCGTACAGCAGAGGGGGAAGGGGAAGAGCATGGAGGAGCTAGCAATGGCTTTACAGGCAGTGCATCTCCCCGTCGAGAATGATGAACAGGATCAGGCACAGAGGGTGGAACGCAAAAATAGGATGGTGTATCAGAGGCATGAGGCACGAACAAAGAAGAGGTATGATCAGGGGCGGGAAGAACGCGATGGGTGGACGCGAATGAGAGGGAGGAACAGGAGCGTATCATTTTCGATGACGAGGGTCCAGAGTTTCGCGCGACGGAGGGGGATAGGGAGAGAGATGAACGGCAGCAGGAGAGGGTAGAAAACGAGAGGCGTCTTGAGCGCGAAAATGAGGATGCACAGCAGATAGAGGTAGGGAGTGAGGGGCTCAAGGAACAAAGGCCGATGGAGCGCAAAAAAAGAGGAGGCACAACAGAGGGAGGAAAATGAGGGGTCCGAGGAACAAAGGCGGGTTGAGCGCGAAAAGAAGAAGCGGCAGAGGGAGGAGGAAGAGCGGAAGAGGAGAAAAGGAAGGTGGAGCACGAAAAGGAGGAGAAGCAGCAGAGGGAGGAGGAAGAGCGAAAGAGGGAGGAGGCGAGTAAGGTCGAGCGCGAAATGGAGCAGAAGCAACAGAGGGAGGAGGAAGAGCGAAAGAGGGAGGAGGCAAGAAAGGTGGAGCGCAAAAAGGAGGAGAATCGGCATAGGGAGGAGGAAGAGCGGAAGAGGGAGGAGGCGAGACAGTTGGAGCGCGAAAAAGAGGAGGTGCGGCAGAGGGAGGAGGAAGAGCGGAAGAGGGAGGAGGCAAGAAAGGTGGAGCGCAAAAAGGAGGAGAAGCGGCAGTTGGAGGATGAAGAGCGGAAGAGGGAGGAGAGAAAGGTGGAGCGCGAAAAAGAGGAGAAACGACAGAGGGAGGAGGTGAGAAAGGTGGAGCGCGAAAAGGATAATCGGCAGAAAGAGGAGGAAGAGCGGATGAGGGAGGAGGCAAGTAAGGTGGAGCGCGAAGAGGAGGAGGTGCGGCAGAGGGAGGAGGAAGAGCGGAAGAGGGAGGAGGCGAGAAAGGTGGAGCGCGAAAAGGAGGAGAAGCGGCACTTGGAGGATGAAGAGCGGAAGAGAGAGGAGGCGAGAAAGGTGGAGCGCGAAAAGGAGGAGAATCGGCAGAGGCAGGAGGAAGAGCGGAAGAGGGAGGAGGCGAGGAAGGTGGAGTGCGAAAAAGAGGAGGTGCGGCAGAGGGAGGAGGAAGAGCGGAAGAGGGAGGAGGCAAGAAAGGTGGAGCGCGAAAGGAAGGAGAAGCGGCAGTTGGAGGATGAAGAGCGGAAGAGGGAGGAGGCGAGAAAGGTGGAGCGCGAAAAGGAGGAGAATCGGCAGAGGCAGGAGGAAGAGCGGAAGAGGGAGGAAGCGACGAAGGTGGAGCGCGAAAAAGAGGAGGTGCGGTAGAGGGAGGAGGAAGAGCGGAAGAGGGAGGAGGCGAGAAAGGTGGGGCGCGAAAAGGAGGAGAATCGGCAGAGGCAGGAGGAAGAGCGGAAGAGGGAGGAGGCGAGAAAGGTGGAGCGTGAAAAGAAGGAGAAGCGGCAGAGGGAGGGCGAAGAGCGGAAGAGGGAGGAGGCGAGAAAGTTGGAGTGCGAAGAGGAGGCGAAGCGGCAGAGGGAGGATGATGAGCGGAAGAGGGAGGAGGCGAGAAAGGTGGAGCGCAAAAAGGAGGAGAATCGGCAGAGGCAGGAGGAAGAGTGGACGAGGGAGGAAGCGAGGAAGGTGGAGCACGAAAAAGAGGAGGTGCGGCAGAGGGAAGAGGAAGAGCGGAAGAGGGAGGAGGCGAGAAAGATGGAGCGCGAAAGGAAGGAGAAGCGGCTGAGGGAGGACGAAGAGCGGAAGAGGGAGGAGGCGAGAAAGTTGGAGCTCGAAGAGGAGGCGAAGTGCAGAGGGAGGATGATGAGCGGAAGAGGGAGGAGGCGAGGAAGTTTGAGCGTGAAAAAGAGGAATGGGAGCAAAAGAGGCTGGAGGCCAAGGAGCGAGAAACGCGCGGAAAGGAGGCGAGGGAGAAGGACGAGCGAGAGCGAATGGGGCTGGAGGCCGGGGGGCGAGAAACGTGCGAAAGGGAGGAGGTGCGGCAGAGGCAAGAACGGGAACGTACAAAAGCTGAAAGCGAACGCCTAAGGCAAGAGCTGAGGAGGCTAGAGCGCGAAAGGCAAGTGGCAAGACAGATGGAGGAAGCTGGTGACTATCATGGTCCGGAGTGTCACGGGGATCGACGGGAGGTGAATGCGCACCGTGGGATGGGGGCCGCTCTGCCGAGGCACGAAAGGCAGAGAGGGGTTGCTGGGTTGGGTGAACACGGTGGCGGAGGGCAGCGGGGCTGTGATGGGACTCGTCACACAAGCGACGGTCAGAGGGGCGCGAGGGTCTTCCAAACCCAAGCGGGAAGGGGTGCAGGGGAAGGAGCACGACAAGTGGTGGTTGGCGACCAGCCAACCAAGGGGCAGCAGGGGACGGCGATTCGTCGGGCAGCGGAGGTGGGTTTAGCGGGGTTGGGAACTGGCGGTCCGAGACCGGTGATTCAGCGGGATGGTGGCCGGTGTGATGATCAAACAGTTCAGAATAGGGTTGGCCAGGGAGACCATTGGAGGCTCGAGCAGTCAAGGCAAGCTGGTCGGCGAGAGGGTGAAGCGTGTCGAGCGGTACAGGGTGAGAGAGTCGCGGAGGAGAGGGTCTGGCGTGGGGTGGGATGGGCAGTGGAGGGAGGACGGGTGGAAGAGGAGCTGGAGAGTGCGGCAAGTGCGCTCCCTATTCCGGGGCGCCGTCCACGTGCGGCAGAGAATCCAGCAGCCGTGCAGGCAGGGGAACTGGAGGAGGGTGAATGGGTGGCTGTGGAGAATGCCGGGCCCCAGGTTTAAGAGGAGACGGCGGGTGGATTTGAGGAGGTCGGCGACCGTATCGCAGCTATCGGCGAAGTGCAGACCACATCAGAATTAATGCGGCGTCTGACGTTGGTGGCGAGGTCCGTGGCCAGGATTTCGTCAGAGCAAGGTGTTCGCTTCAGCAAATGCATGGTTGAGATTTGCCAGTATGGAGCGCAGATGCAAGGATGGGACACGCGCTACTTGCAGGACTACGACGATCTAACGCACGAGTACCACGAGCTCTTGGATTCAGTTGTCCGGGAGCGCGAGGAGCTCGTCCGGTTGTGTACTGCTCTTTCGACGTCTGCCGCCGAGGCACGAGCGGCAGCAGCTGATGCAGGTCGAGCAGCTGCAGCAGCTTCTGTGGGAGCATTGCAGGAAAAGTTACAAGGGTTTTTCGAGACGTTTGGGGAGAAGCTGAAGGGTGTGGTGGAGCAGGCGATAGAAAAAGTGTCAGAAGGGGGGAAGCTGGAGGCCACGATCGCACGCGTCTCCCTGGATCAACTGCAAAATGTTTTTGGCAATAGCGTATACGATGTGTGGGAGGATCTCTGAATTGCGGACGACCAAAACCAGCTGACGTTCAATGCGATTCAGAAGGCTCTGGCAGGATTGGGTGCGAAACTCAAAGGGCCGACTGGAGCCATCAGGGTCGAGAGAGAAAAACGCAAGATCACAAATGGTAATGAAAAGGTTTGCAGCGACATCCAAGGGTGAGGCGGGTGCGGTGGGTGGGGCGGGTGAAGTATGCACTGGTGTGGCAGATGTTGACTTGTTTGGGCTGGTGAGAGAAACTGGAGAGAGACGTTTCGGGCAAAGGAGTTGCAGAAAGAGAAGGACAAAGAAAGTGACGAGAGGAGGGCGGCCGAAGCGCGAAAGAGACGGGCTGTGGGGGGGGTGGGGAATCCGAGAGGGGATGATCGGTCTGGGACTGTTGCTAGCAGCGGGAGAGCGGCAGAAAACCGAGTCGCAAAAACAGTCGTGGAGCCATGAAGGTTGCGTGCAACCATACTCGAGAGGAGGAAAGCTGAGCAATGCAAGAAGGTCGAGGAGGACCGCAAGCGTGCAGAAGAGAAACCGGCACGGCAGGATAAGGCGAAGGAGGTAGAGCGGGCCGAGAGAGCGGCGGAGGAAAAGCGCAAGGCGGAGGAAGAGAAGTGGATGCGAGAAGAGCAGGCGAAGGAGGCAAAGCGGGTAGAGAGAGGCGGAGGAAAAACGCAAGGCGGAGGAAGAGAAGAGGGTGCGAGAAGAGCAGGCGCAGGAGGCAGAGCGGGTAGAGAGAGAGGCGGAGGAAAAACGCAAGGCGGAGGAAGCGAAGAGGGTGCGGGAGGTGCAAGCGAATGAGGCAGAGCGGGTAGAGAGAGAGGCGGAGGAAAAACGCAAGGCTGATGAAGAGAAGAGGGTGCGGGAGGAGCAAGCGAATGAGGCAGAGCGGGTAGAGAGAGAGGCGGAGGAAAAACGCAAGGCTGATGAAGAGAAGAGGGTGCGGGAGGAGCAAGCGAATGAGGCAGAGCGGGTAGAGAGAGAGGCGGAGGAAAAATGCAAGGCGGATGAAGAGAAAAGGGTGCGGGAGGAGCAAGCGAAGGCATTGAAGGTTGCTGAAGAGAAGCGGTCAGAGGCATTGAAGTTGAAAATGGAGCTCCAAGCAAAGCGCGAGAGGATGCTGGCTCAAATGGAAGAACTTGCAAAGTTAGAGGAAGCTGCGAAGGAAGAGGAGGAGAGGCAACAGAAAAAGTTGGAGGCGCAGAAGGAGATGATGGAAAAGGAGCGGCAACGGATTGCGGCGGAGGAGGGGGGGGGGGGGGGGGGGGGGGGGGGGGGGGAACAAGGCAACGGCAGGGAGGAGACGCGATTCTTTGCGTGGGTCCGACGATCGGGATTCTTCAAGTGATTCCTGTGAACCTCGGACAGGCACTTGAAGTTGTGGATCTGATGGAGGATGATGGATCGGACTGTCCACGCTGATTCAGAGTCCCAACCGGCCTTGAAGAAACCTCGCAGAGATCAAACAGTGCCCAACTTCGATGCAGAGGCGGAGTCTAAAAATGCTGCAGCGTCAAAGAACGAAGTTGAGGCAGGGCAGGAGAATGTTGAAGCGGTGTTGGGCGAAGCGGTCGAAGATGTGGCGGAGAAGGATAGTATACCCGACGCACTGGGCAAAATGTGGGGAGTTACCAAGCACTTAAAAAAAATGGGCTTTTTGAACGCGAACGGGTGCGGAAGGATGGGACGAAGGAGTTGAAATTCACTTCGGAGCAAACAATTGGAGGGAAGAAGAGAAACATGGGAAGTTACAAGGAGAAATGGCGATGTGACTTCACCGTAGCCATCTGCTGGATGGCGTACTATCCCGAGACCGACATGCTTCATTACGGGATGGATCCCGCCGAAGTTGGGACATGGGATCCCTACCTCGAACTAGCGCGTGAATTGCCGACGGGAGTGTGGAGCGTGCTCAACAAAATGGACATGGACAATTTCGAAGAGTGAGTGTTCTCGATTGATGCGCCCAGCTTCCGACTTTGTTTATGCCACTAATGGTCTGATCCATCCCACTTTTGGCAGCTTCAAGAATGTCTACAAGAAAATTCAGGCATACGTGGAACGCGGCGAGCACTGGGAGATCACGGTTTGCGTGGGGATTGGACAGGCCGCCGTCCTTGGCAACACTAATGCGGAGTCTCCCCCCACTGGTGTCAAGTCCTCGGTGTATGCAGCTGGGGTGGCTGCATCTCTGTACACCTTGTGGGCAGCTTCGAATGGCATTCCGACGTCTGACTAGGGAGAGGGTGCCGCAGCGGCAGCCCGTGGGACACTGGCCGATCAAAGCCTTGCCAGTCAAGCAGCCTCGGTTTCTCGCGTCGGAATAGCGGCTCTCCGTCGAGTTAGGGACAGCGTGCACGGTCGGAACGAGTGGGATTCGGTTCTTAGCGGAGTGATAGTCGGCATCATGGATCCCGAACCCAAGGATGAGCCGGAGGTTGGTAGCCTGGCGAAAGTGGTTGCTCGGGTGTTGGTGTAGTGGTGCGAGTGCAACCTGGCAGCCGCAGGAATTTACGCGTACCAAGGGGGTTTGCTCATCTTTGCCCAGGCCCCACGAGGGCAGAAGCGGAAGGCGGCTGCTGCTGGCAAAGCGTGAATCGAGTGTAGTTTGCATGTATCAAGAGTATAGTAGCCTGTTGCAGGCGTTGCTGTTTCGAGAAACTTTGGAGAGAATCTGGAATTGTCTGCCATTTTGCTAGGGCTAGAGGTTTGTACTAGGATGTTTACCTTGCTTGACATTTCGAGACATTTTGCATTCCGAAAACTAGCATACTTAGGAATTCGAATTTTACACACAAGAAGTAATTGCTTGCTTAGTTGGATCATGAAGGTGAGGCGTGACTAGAGCGTGCTCTGATTCTCGTGCTTTGCTACAGCTCTATTCTCTAGTCTGGTGCATTCTCCTTTTTTTCCAGCCAGTAAATACCGTTCAGTTTTTACGACTTGATAGAGCTCTGTGCTATAGTGTCTTTTGCGCGTGGTTTCCGAGACATTGTTTATCACCGCAGCCGGTGGCTCTCGAGACATTATGTACTATGCCCTCTGGCGGAATCCACCCTGTTCACCTGAACGCAGGAATTCCTGGGAACCCACTCGCGGGGTGTTCAAGGAACCAACCCGCGGGAATTCCTACCCAACCGCGGGAAGTCCAGCTAATCAACCCGCGGAAAATCCTGGAAACCCAGCCGCGAGAGCTCTACGCTGTTATTCCGTAGAACCCACCCGCGGGAAGACCAGGGAATAAACCCGCATGAATTCCCATCCATCCGCGGGAAGTCCAGCTAACCAACCCGCGAGAATTCCTGGAAACCCTACCGCGAGAATGCTTGTGTACCACCCCGCGGGAATTCCTCGAAACCCCCCAGCGTGTGTTCCTTATAACCCAAACGCTGTTATTCCGGAGAACCCACCCGCGGGAAGTCCAGGGAATGAACCCGCGGGAATTCACACCCATCCGCGGGAAGTCCAGCTACCCAACCCGAGGGAAATCCTGGAAACCCAGCCGCAAAAATTCTTCTGTGCCAGGCAGCAGGAATACCTAGAAACACAGCCGCGAGAGTTGTTGAGTACCCACCCGCGGTTGTTCTTAGAAAGTAGTTTTATATTTCCATGCTCTAGTGTCTGTATGAATGAGGCAATTGTGAACTCAGGACGCGGGTGCCAAGTATGTGTTCGCCTGTTCCCATGCCCGCTTGCGTTTTGTAACATACATATTCCAACAAGTATTACGACTCAGAACTTGTGTTTCCGACAACAAAACCCTATTCACGTGGAAACAAAATACACGAGTCCAACCGAACACCCAACACGCACTAGCATAAGCAGCAACAATTAACCCGAAAAAGAAACTCCGCAGCACAATACCCTAAATCCACTGCCATAACCACGAACGCCAACGCGCCCGCATATAGCGCCTTCTGTGCTTTCCCTTTCACCGCCGTTTCGTCATCCGCGGCTTCAAGGCCAATAGCAGCACACATCACGGACTCGACCGTGGGCTTCACCTTCGAGTCCAAGAATCCGCGACTTGTCTTGAAAATGTTCAACATCCTGCGCGAACATTCACTTAAGAGTGTTACGACCCACGGTTGAATAGAACGGCGAAAACAGCCGCGGAAGGGCGACGTTTCTCTTGTGATTAGCGGCAAGTTTCCTGAAAAAATGATTGCGTAAAGTCCCGCGGTCATCTTTCGGGCGAGATCGAGATCGGATGTCCATTCCTCCTCCTCCTTGTCCGTGAGCACCAACTCAGAACTCTGCACGCGGTCGTGCCACACGGTCTGTGCCACCGCTGACAGATAGCGCGCGGGCCCAGCATGCGAAAACGAGCCGAGATAGAAGCGCTCGCCTCCATGATGAAGCTCAACCGAGAAGGGTTTCTTTTGGCCCGGAGTGAAATGAACACCGACCATCGGCGTCTGTTTGATCTCGGCACTTTTAGAGTCCCTTCCCTCAGCCCCACGAACAGCACCTTTCGCCGCAGCCCGCGCCGCCAGATAATTACTCCGCGCTTCCCTCGCCTCGGCCTCCTCGTCGCCAACAGATTCTTCCGCGTCCTCTTTCGTGCCAGCCGCTGCAGTCGCCGGCCTGCCAGAAGCAACAACAGCGTCCTTCGTAGCAGCCACCTCAGGAGCGGCCTCTTTCGGGCCAGCACTGGTGATACCACCAGCACTCTTCGCTTTCTTCGCGCGGTTGGAAGCCTCGCCTTCGGCAACGTGCGGAACAGAGCGTTTGTCATGACGCACTGGCTCACCACCGCCCGCAAGCATCAGCGGCAGGCTCACGTCACCCGCTGCACCAGCTCCCACTTTGGGATCCCGATCCGCGGAATGCACGGGGTCGGTAGTCGGCCCATCGTTACCCCCGATGTTCCCCATCATTGCCCTCAGGATCATAGCTCCCGCGCTCGCACCACGCTCCGCCGCCCGCGCCACAGAGTCTTCGAGGCCGACAAGCTTGCGCCAAACCTCCGTGCGGGTCCGCTCAGCGACACCGTTGATCGCGGAAGTCACTAGGGTTTTCAGATCCACCACAGTCCCTTCAACACGTGCAAGTGTGCGCTCTGCCGTCTCCCTTTGCGACGTAGCATTCGCCCTCTCCACACGGATCTCCTGGACCGCGTCAGCAACATCAGCGCGCCCGCGCTTATCCGATTCGTCGAGGCGGGCTTCGATGCGGTTCATGGTTAACATCCCGCGCTCTAAGGACTCTTGGTTCTCCGACACCCAACCCATCAACTCCCACAACTTCTCCCGCTGCTGTGCCAACTGCCTTTCCTGCATCTTGGCCATGTCCTTCCCCGACGGACGTCGGCCTCGAGACGCATTGCCTTGTGCACAAGCGTGAGGTGAGGAAAAACAGACAGCTCCTTGAAATATCGGTTGCCGCTCTTGCGTGGCCCCTTTCCAACATCATCACTGCCACCGGGCCACCCGGCAACCTCCCTTGTCAATTCCTGTACGCGGGGTGGACTGGCCTTGTCCGCGGAGTCGGCGGCAAGGGCCTTTCCCACGGTTCCCGAGGAAACTTCTTTTCTTTTTTCTGCAACACAGACCTCCCTGTTGGCTCCCGCGAAAGAATCTCCCGCAACCTCTGTAACTTCTTCTGCGTTCTCGCCAACAGGTGTCTTACTCGCGTGTAGGGGTTCCACTGGGCCCGCACTGATATCGGCTGCGCTGTCCACCTGGGGGGCCGCGTGGGCCGCCGTTACGCGAGCGCCCGAAGTTCGGCCCATCGCGGGCTCGGTTAACACGATGTCGACGGCCAGCTCACCCGTGTGCTTGACGATCCTGTCCCGCTGGGACTTCAGAGACTTCGTCTTGGCGGCACGTACAACAGTCAAACGGTTTGCGGACGCATGATCCCAATCTGCCAGCACGCGTTGGAACCCGTACACGACAATCAAGCCGCTCTTGGCGTTCGAATCGGTGACCGGGGTTAGGTACTGCGAAGAGAATAGTAGGAAAAACAACATGATACAGATGCGAGGAGCACGACCAACACAGTTTCCGCGGATTAGGGGAGCAAGACCGTACCATCCACTCGCGCTTCAGGAGCGGCACCCACGAAAAAACCCGCGTCTTCAAATCCGAAGCCAACTTCTCAGCTGCTTTCTCAACCATCCGAACGAACCACCTGGGTACCAAGCAAATGACACATATTAACGGCAACTCCAGGGTCGCGAAAGATTTTAGTACGACCGAAACTCACCGAACCACATCGTCCGCCAGCTTAGCCTGTCGATCTTCGCCACACACTGACTCAATGTGCATAATCCGCGTTTCGAAGTTTTCCTCATCAGACGAAACGAGGTCGTCGGGCCGGATGACAACCAGGATGCTGCAATGACAACTGCCATCGTCCATACTGCGCGCGAAAAAATCAGAACATTGAGTGGCAAAAATTTGCCGCGAGTGCATACAAAGACAGAACCTGCGAAAGACCACCCACCTAGACCACATCGTAAACACAACGAGAGACTTGGACAGCAAGTCTACGTTGATACTGTCCTTTTTCAACAACGCTACAAGGTCCTGACTTGGAAACACGACAGACGTCCGCTCCAGAGGCGGAAGATGCTTCCCAAGCACATGGCTGTTCTGGGGACGAAGAATAGGCCTTGTAAGAGTCAGCAACCCGAAGACGCGAGAAAAAAACGCGAGAAACATGCACACGAAAATGAGGACATCGTTGTTTACGTACAGACACGCAAAATCAAGGCAATGTGCGGAAAAGTCGGCATCCTCGTTCATCAGGATGTCCTTGAAATCGCCTGCAAGAGTAACAGTTGCGCCACCAGCCGCGATAACAACGTCGTGCCCCTTCAGGGCTTCCATGGGGTCCACGAGACTCCTGCGTTCGCGAAGCATTCTGCACGCGCAAAAGGGGTGGTGACTCTAACGCGGGGAAATGCAACAAGAAAACACACCCGGGAATCGAGAATGTGAAATGTCCGCCACGCAGCCACAATCCTTCGAAAATGAAAAACGCGAAAAAAAAGCGGAAAAAACAATGACGCGAACACATATTAGCGAAAATGAACAGCACAATACAAGCACGCGGAAAAATACTACACCAGAAGTACACGGAAACGAAGCCCCGGAAACTGCACGAGCTCAACAAACCGTATGATACGAGCACTAAAACCTATGATAACGAACGCAAAATCACGCCTCCGTGTTGGACTTCCCGCGCCTAGAAAACTGAGCCGTGCACACAGTGTCTAAGAGTCTATCTGTCTATCCTTCAAAGTGAGCACGCATACCTTCAACGACGTTGAGGAAGTGGCCTGGCTGAGGGTTTGCGCAGAGTTGGCGGAGTGAAGAAACACAATGGAAACAGAAAACAAAACACAACAATGAGGCATGATGGCCTTTTATACCCACCTTCGGTCCTCGTGCCCTCTGCCTCGTGCTGTGCACCCCGGTATCTGTCGGCTCCTATGCACAACATTGGTGCTTTGTGTGGGTGCCACGTGTTCACTCGTGGTGTAACATTGCGCATAACCTTGGTTCGTTTCACTTACAATTCCGAAAATAGGACTACAATTGGGGTACAACAGCAGTGACGCAGAGAAAGAGTTAGGGAAATGAATTTACACCAAGTGAGCACCAACTCTTCGTGTTTCTGCATCGTCTGACTACTGTGTATTCATACCACGCGAAAGCATCGTATGAGCCTTACTTAGGGGAACAAATGGGGGGATAAAGAAAATAATGAAAGAAAACATGGGAGGCAGCAGGAGCGGTCACAGCATGGGGTGTGGCTCGCGAGGTGGCTTGTTTCGTTCTCCCGCATTAAAGGGTTATTGGCGCGTGTTTTCCAAATGGGGACCTGTTGAGGCTAGCCAGGCCACTGCGAGGCCCGGACCGGGCCTTGCAGGCGCGCGAGCCCGGTGGTCCCCGACCCCGTCACGCAAGGGTGTGTTCTGCGCCAGGCGGTCCCCGAGCTAGCTCGCTGACTCGGAGCTGCATCAGCCTGCCTCCGACAGGCTGGCGAACTCGGTTCCAGTCGGTCGAGGGCAGCACGCGGGGTCTCGCGTGCTCCCGAGGCCGCTACCGGGCACAAACCGAAGCTATCTACTGAAATGTATTGGTGGAAGTTTTTTTTTATGGTTTAGACCTACTATCCTGCTTGTACAAACCGTTTGGTTTTTTTGACTAGATTGTTCTTTGTTTTATCGTGTATTTAAAACACAGTTTCTGAAACAGGTTCCTATGAACCCAGGTGTTTGCAGGCCTAGTAATTTAAATAGCACTGGAATTAGCTTAGTGGTTTCGATCACAAGCGTCACATGGAGAGGTTTATGGAGGTTACGACAAAAAGAGGATTTAGACCAGAGGAAAGTAGAAAGAAAAAAAAGAGGGATCAACATCAAGAGAAGAGTAGAAACAAGGTCCAAGAATGGATGCACGCAATCAAAGGTATGAAGAGTGGTAGAAAAACTTGGGGAGCTGATGACGTAAGGAAGTCTCAGTAGCGTGAACTACTTCTTCAGTTTAGCCAGCTTCTTTGGCTCGTCGATCTTGATCTGCTTCCAATCATCTTTCCCAAACATCTTCACTCCCCACGCGTCACCTTCCATCTGGGCGGCGAAGAAGAGGTACCCGACCCTGCGGCGCTTGTTCTCCGTCGTCTTATCCTTGCCGGGATTATCCCTCTTCGGAGGTGGCTCATCTCCGAGCATCACGCCATCCGCCAGAACGCTGATCGAACTTTGATCCACAATGTCCTTCTGGATCTTCGAAATGGCTGCTTGGGTCGCCTCCTCTGTTTCATTGGCCCTGTACTTCTCGACGGTGAGCATCACGTTCCTCATCCGCTTCATTTTTTTGTCGCCAGCATTGTCCTTCACACCCTTCTCAATGTACGAGAAAGTGGGGTAGATGAATTTTTTTTTTCAGACAACAGTTGGCAGAGATTCTTTCCTTCCATAAAAAAGGTGACCTTCACCCAGTGTTCCCATGCCTCTGCCACGGTCTCAGAGTCCCGCCAGGGTTTAACGACAAGGTCGAAAAATGCCCGCACTGGAGTGGTGACTTGTGCCTTCTCGGGCTTCGGAGCCTGCCCACCAGCTTCCTCCTTTGCCGACGAGCCCGTCCCTTGATCAGCAGCATGTGTGTTTGCGCTGCTCCCTGCAAGAGCCTTGAGAGCAGCCAGCTCCACTTTGAGCTGCTCGTTTTCTGCGGCCGTCTTCTTCTCCCTCTCTTCGGTTTCAGCGAGCCTGTTTTTCAGCTCGCGAATCTCGTGATCATACTGACCACATTCTGTCCGGTACAGGTTGTTCTCTGCGAGGAGCTTCTGGTACTTTCGCATTGAGTTCAGCTTGTAGATTGCATCCTGCGGAAAAACGGACGACGGTTTTTAGACATTGTCAGATTTGTCGAAATGGAAGGGTCGATCAGAAAACTATTGTACTTACAGCGGTTGCAGAGCTGCCCCTGGCTTCACGAAGATCAATGCCAGCCTTGTGCATGATTGCCACTTTGATGGCCCATTTCTGGAAGAGATGGTGGCGGCAGAGCGGATTCATGTCCGTGTACGAGTGACGCTGGCATTCGCATAGTCGTCTTGTATCGTCGAACTGCTTGTCGTGGTCGGGGCAGTAGAACCACCACATGGCAAGGTCCTGTGCCACGATGTCTCGCCCAGGGTTTGCAAGAGCCTCCAAAAAACTTCTGCCATAGTGGTAAATCTTATCCGGATTGTCCCTGTTGTACTTATGGACCTGAGAAGATAGGACAGAGAGAACATTGAGCTCTGCCACGCGTAAGAAAATTAGAAAAAACTAGAAGCTGTCTAATGAAGGGTTACCTTTGCCAAATCAGATTCGAGGCGCGGGAAGATGAACAGCTTGAAAAGGTTCTGCAACTGTTCCCACTCACGTAGGTCGTCAAATTTAGCGTGCAATGTAGTAATCTCCCGGCTCCCCACTGAATCCGGCCATCATCAAGACCGGCCAAAACAGAATTCCCACGACATAGGATTTTCGCATCTCGCCCTGCTCCCAGCCTCTGAGAGCGTTGATGTCGGGGTCGGGACAGCGATCGTCACTCAGGCCTTGGGCTCCTGACCGGTGAAACGCGTGGGTCTTTTTGCTCAAGCGTTAGGGTGGTTGAGCTACGTCGTTCATGACCCAATTAATCCAGTTGTTGTGAGTCACGTACACAAGCTCTTCCTGCAATTGTTCCCTTTTGTGCCTCAATGGGAAAAAAATGTGCTTCTTTGACCACTGGAGGGGGTCGCTGAAGTCCAGTGGCGGAATGATGTCCGGGCCGAATCGCAGCGGCACGAGGTCGTAGACGAAATGAATCCACAGGAAAGACCACCAACACCGCAGAGCGCGAAGATGTGCCAGGCCAGAATTGGTGGGTCAGCCTGTTGGTCGCATTCGTCTTGGACTTTCGAGAGGCGAAAACCACCACAGGGAGATCCTTCTGGCGGTCGGGGACGGCCGTGCTGCTACGCGTGTGGCGGACAAACATGTTCGCGAATCAAAGAGCACGAATGCTGCATCCCCTCCCCAACATTTGGTGTGCGAGTTGAATCATCACCTGCACCGCAAAACACCGCCAGAGACTTTTTTATAGTGCAACCCGGGCTCTCTGGAAGTACGATTTGCTTCCCCTCAGAAAGTGCTTTTCGTGCAGGTCCGCGTACTGCTCTGCCGTGTAGCAATTGTTCAGAGAGTTTCGGTGCTGATCTTTGCCCTCCTTGCAGAGATCCACATGAAAC